TACCATGTCGGCTCAGGCCTCCCACACCTTCACCCTTGACTCGGGTGCTTCCCGCTCCTTCTTTCGAGACCGCACCACACTCACGCCGCTTGGTCGGCCAGTTGCGGTCTCCCTGGCAGACCCCTCTGGAGGTCCTATCCTTGCCCACTTCTTCACTGTCTTACCGTGTCCGGTGGCCCCTTCTGGCACCCTGTCAGGTCTCTACATCCCCTCGTTCTCTACGAACTTGGTGAGTGGTGCTGACCTACAGGATGGGGGGGTTGACCAGTTCACTCCTGCGAGTCAGGGAGTGACCCACTGTACTTGTGCTCGGACGGGCCGACACTTGGCCACGTTTACCCGTCGACCAGGGTCGAGCCTGTACACATTGACTACTGAGTCTCCTCCGGTCTCTGCGTCTGGTCAGGTAGCTGCGTCGGGTCAGGTGTCTGCTACGGCGTCCAGGTCTGCTTCTGCGTCTGCCCCCTGCTCGTGTCGTCTCCTGTCTCACCAGACTCTCCTCTAGCTCAACCGGCTTGGTCACCCCTCACTGCCTCGTCTCCGAGGCATGGCCTCCCGTGTCCTTGTCTCTGGTCTCCCCCGGTCCCTCCCTCCTCTTCCTCCGGGGCCTGCCCCTACCTGCGTTCCCTGCGTTGAGGGGAGGCAGCGTGCTGCTCCTCATTCCTCCGAGTTTCCGACTACAAAGGCTTCGCTGCAGACGCTTCACATGGACGTGTCGGGCCCAGCCCGCGTCCGTGGACAGGTTCACGAGCGTTACTTCCTGCTGGTGGTTGAGGACTACTCGCGTTACACCACAGTCTTCCCCTTGCGCAACAAGGGTGAGGTCACTGAGGTGTTAATTGGCTGGATCCGCGCTGCTCGTCTCCAGCTCAGAGAGAGTTTCGGCTCGGACTTACCTGTTCTGCGTCTGCACTCTGACAGAGGCGAGGAATTTTCCTCTGCCCTTCTAGGAGCCTTCTCTCGTGCACAGGGCATCCGCCAGACGTTCACGCTTCCGGCCTCTCCACAGCAAAATGGGATTACTGAGCGCCGCATTGGCATGGTCATGGACGCCACTCGTACGTCCATGTTCCATGCGGCTGCTCCCCATTTTCTGTGGCCGTTTGCGGTTCGGTACGGAGCGCATCAGATCAACCTTCAGCCCCGGGTCTCCTTGCCGGAGACCTCCCCCACCTTGCGGTGGACGAGGAAGGTTGGCGATGCGTCTGCGTTTCGTGTCTGGGGATCTCGGGCGTTTGTCCGCGACTTGTCTATGGACAAGCTGTCCCCCCGTGTTGTTCCCTGCGTCTTCCTTGGCTTCCCCCCTGACGCGCCTGGTTGGCAGTTTTACCACCCCACCTCGCGCCGTGTTCTGTCCTCCTAGGACGTCACCTTTGACGAGTCGGTTCCTTACTACCATCTCTTCCCCTACCGCACTGCGCCCCTCCCCCCGCCGCCGCTCTTCCTTGCGCCAGGTCCCCCCCGGGTAGACCCTTTCCCCTCTCAGAGTCCTGCCCCGTCAGGTGTGTCCCACGTAGACGCAGACGAGCCTGTCGAGGTAGCTGTTGACTCTGGTGCTGCTAGGGGTGCTGAGCCTGGGGGTGCTGAGTCTCAGGGTGCTGAGCCTGGGGGTGCTGAGCTTGGGGGTGCGGAGCCTGGGGGTGCTGGGTCTGCTCGTGTGGCCTCTGGCTGTGCTGGGTCTGGGGGCCCTTCCAGTGCTTCGTCTCGCCGGGAGCTACCCTCTCAACAGGAGCTGCGCGAGTGGTTTGCCCGGCGCTGGAGCCGTGGTGCTGGAGCTGGAGGTGCTACTATTGCTGCAGACCCTGGGGTCGGCACTAGAGGTACTGGAGCCACTAGTCCTGGAGGTGCTCGTACTGGCGGTACTGGAGCTGTTGGGACTGGAGGTGCTACTTGGGCTGCTAAAGTTGGTGTTGCTGGAGGTACTGGAGCTGCTGGTACTACTGGGGGGGCTGGAGCTGCTGGGCCTGGAGGTGCTCCTAGTGGTGGAGCTACTGTCGGTGCTAGAGCTGGCGGTCCTGCTGGAGTAGGTGCTGCTGGAGCTGGAGCTACTGGGGGTGTTTGCACTGGTACTTCTGAGGGTGCTGGAGTTGGCGCTGCTGGAGCTGGAGGTGCTGCTGGCGCTGGTGCTGCCGCTGGGGGTACTGGTGCTGTCCCTGCTGTTTCTGGAGGCGCTGCGCGGCCGCGGCCGTACTTCGTTCCGCTCCTTTAGCAGGTTCTTGGTCTTCCGCCTTCTACTGGTCCTGCTCCTCCCTTCAAGTGTCCACCGCCTGTCCAGTCGTAGTCACAGTTACAGCCCGCCTCCCCCCTGCTTGCTCCTTCTCCCTACACTGGTCCTACTGGAGGTCTTGCTGAGCATCATGAGCCTGCGTCTCGTCCTGCGTCGCTTGTTCGTGCTGCTCGCATTAGTAGTCGTGTTCCGCGTCCGCTTCCTCCTGCGGTCCCAGGCACACACCAGATGGCACTGCGTCCTTCCACTTCTCCTCTGCGTGTCCCGTTGCCGTCTCCTCCAGAGTCTTCTCTTCCTGTTCTTGCTGACCCGGAGTGTGACTCTCTTCGTGCTGCCAGTCCTACTGTCACGCGTCTCCTGGCTTTTGTTGTCATTGACCCTTCCTTTGGGTCCACTGCTGCGTTTGCCTTGGTTGCTGAGCTTGTCGACTTTGCAGCTCGCTGTCGTCTAGACTACGCTGCTAGTCTTGTTGCTGAGTCTGAGTCTGTCTGTCCTCCGTCTGTCAGGGGTGAGTGTGCTCTTAGCACGGACGTCCTTGAGGACAGGCAAGAGGAGTTCCAGTGTTTTGCTGCTGCTTTGCCTCATCTCGTGTCCACGCTGAGTGCCCGTGAGGGAGACCCGGATGCACCAGACATCCCGACTCCTCGATCCTACGCTGAGGCGATCAAGGATCCCTACTCCTCACAGTGGCAGTCAGCCATGGACGCAGAGATGGCTTTCTGGAAGTCCACAGGCACCTACGTTGACGAGGTTCCCCCACCTGGGGCAAACATCGTCACTAGCATGTGGATTTTCAAGGTGATGCGGCCGCCGAGTTCTCCGCCTGTCTTCAAGGCGCGTTACGCAGCTCGAGGCTTCAATCAGTGGCAGGGAGTTGACTACTTTCAGACCTTCTCTCCCATTCCGAAGATGACCACTCTTCGGGTGTTGCTCCACATAGCCGCTCAGCGCGACTACGAGCTTCACTCTCTTGACTTCAGCACAGCTTTTCTGCAGGGCAGCCTGCACGAGGAGATCTGGCTGTGCCGCCCACCTGGCTTCACTGGGTCATTTCCTCCTGGTACCCAGTGGAGCCTTCGGCGGTCAGTCTACGGTCTCCGCCAGGCGCCCCGTGAGTGGCACGACACACTGAGGACTACACTTGCGGCTCTTGGGTTTGCTCCCTCTACCGCCGACCCGTCGCTGTTTCTGCGCACCGACACCTCTTTGCCGCCGTTCTACATCCTTGTGTACGTCGAAGACTTGGTCTTTGCCACACCTGACACTGCTGGACTCGCCCACGTGAAGTCCGAGCTGCAGAAGAGACACACGTGCACAGACCTGGGTGAATTGCGCAGCTACCTTGGCTTGCATATCACCCGCGATAGAGTACAGCGCACCATTACCTTGACTCAGTCACACATGGTGCAGCAGGTCCTTCAGCGCTTCGACTTCACGTACTCCTTGCCTCAGGCCACTCTTCTGTCTACTCGCCACTCGCTCTCAGCTCTGCCTTCGGATGAGTCCGTAGAGTCGAGTGGCCCGTACCCAGAGCTTGTTGGCTGCCTCATGTACCTGATGACCTGCACACGACCTGACCTAGCATACCCTCTTAGCATCTTGGCACGCTATGTTGCTCCTGGGAGACACCGACCAGAGCACATGGCTGCAGCGAAGAGGGTGTTGCGCTACTTGTGTTGTACGTTGGGCATGGGGCTAGTGCTTGGAGGGCGACATTTAGTGGTCCTCACAGGTCACGCAGACGCTTCTTGGGCTGACGACCAGGCTACGCAGCGGTCGTCGCACGGTTACACCTTCAGCCTTGGCTCCGGCTTTGTTTAGTGGCGGTCTACCCGCTTGTCTTCTGTTCTCCGCTCTAGCTGTGAGGCTGAGATCTACGCGGGAGCCATAACTGCACAGGAGCTACGCTGGTTCACCTACCTGCTGACTCACCTAGGAGAGCCGCCTCGTTCTCGTCCAGTTCTGTAGGTAGACAACAAGGCCATGCTGGCCTTGTGTCGGGAGCACGGACTGGAGCACGGAACGGAGCAAATTGCTCTTCGCTACTTCCTTGCTCGTGAGCTGTAGCAGTGTGGTGAGCTACGCCTTGCTTACGTGGCCTCTGAGGCCAACACTGCTGATATCTTTACCAAGGCACTTCCGCCTTGTGATCATCAGCGCTTCTGTACGATGCTAGGTCTTGTGCCTACTTGGCCTCACTTGCTCCCTTTTTGACCTTGCTTGTACTGTGATCTTTCTATACCTGCACTTGCTTGTTTACCTTTATATATGATCTTTCATGTGAACTGGCCTTTTGGCCTTGCTCTTGTGCTCGGAATATGTGGTGACGTTGTGATCCACCCTGAGCGTGCTTTGCTTTGCTTGACTGGTCTTGTGACCTCTTGTTCTCCCCCACTTAGCCTATGGGGGTGTGTTGAACTTATATGCTATAGTGTGTGTAGGCTGTAGTTGGGTAGACAATATGGGGTACAACACTTTTAGGTTTTCCTACTTGTACCCACCTGTTTGCCAGTGCATTTTCCCCTCATTTCTTCACACCCTCATCATTACCAGCACTACCCTCATCATTACCAGCACTACCCTCATCATTACTAGCGCTAACCTCATCATTACCAGCACTACACTCATCAATACATTACCAGCACTAACCTCATCATCACCAGCACAAACAATCATGATCACCATCCACTCCCACAGCCTCGTTGCCTTCTCCTTCACATCCTGCAGACTGGTTGCTAGTTCAAATGCTTCAGTGCTACTCACCATTCCATGCTCATCCCCCTAGCAGTGCACACTGCTTACCTGTGTCCACTGCAGATTCAAGAATGACGTGCTGCTGAAACGGCTTCACAGTGGTGGACGTCACGAAGCCAAAGAAGAAGGCGGGCTGCTCGGCTGCACCCTGCAGCACCTCACACAGCGCCAGCCTCCTCTCCAGCAGTGCCTGCTGTGGCTTCTCCTGCGAGTCAGCCAGGAAGACCTGGATGGTGCCGGGGTCACCCGGCTCATAGTCCACCCACGCCGTGTACGCCTTCTTGTTGCTCAAGGGGAACGGTGACCTCACAGCAGCTATGGACTTGTCCTCGCCTCGAATGTTCAGCCCCACATGCTAGCTGCTCATGTCCCCGTGCTGCTTGTCCTGCCGAGTGTCGCACTCAACCACCACACTCCGTTTGTTCATTCCACCATACCCCACACCGCCGCCGCTCCCCACGTGGTCCGTCGCCGAGACGACAAAGGCAAAACCTTTGGAGCCCACGCGGCCAGATTGAGGTGAGAGGGAGAAGGTGAAGTTGGCGTGGAAGGCGAGCTCCAGCCCACACCCCAACGCCGCCTGCCCTGCCTCGTACACAAACAGCGTCATCGGCGCTGCGGTGAAGCTCCCTCTCGTCTCTTGCTGCGTCCCCTTGGTGAGCACAGATGCTAGGAGGAGAATCGGCTGGCTGCTTGAGTAACTCCTGTTCTGGCCTGCACACATGAAACAAACGGACGGACAAGAGTGGGATATGGAGGTATGAGATCGTGAGATGAGATTCAAGGCATATGAAACCAACAAATGTCAAACAAGCTTCCATCCAAACAACCTGCTAGAAGTCCCACCTGCTTCATCGATTTCAAGTGGCGGACCCTACCTTGAGGAACACAGCTGATCTCTCCAAACCGCACGAATCCCACATCACACAGACATGTGGGTGCCAAGCTAGCCCCTCTGGATAGCACACCCCATGTCCACCACACGCAGCAGCAGCACCAACAGCAGGGGCGACGCCACAGAATGCATTGCATGCTGCCTCCTGCCGCTGCGTGACCAAGGTGCAGCCAAGCGGCAGCGTGAAGCAATTGGCATCAAAAGAGAGAGGCTTGCATGCCCCGTCGGGCAGAGGGCCCGAGAGGAAGTTGCTGGAGAGATCCAGGGTACGTGTAGTAAGAGGCGTCATTGCAGGACCTGTGAGGTAGTTGTGGGAGAGGTCGCTGTAGGGAGGAGGGGCAGGTGCCGGGAGAAGGATGCATGGGGATCACCTCAGTGCACCCAGACTTTGGAAACTGGAGTAAAGGAGCAAAAGTGTGAGGGGTTGTTGAGTAGCATGGGAGTATGGATAGGGAGTAGAAGAGGGCGGGCACGGGAAGGCAGAAAAGGGAGAACAAGGAGTACGAGAAGCGGAGCAGAGGGGGAACAGGAGGTGGATGAGGAGGAGGTAGGCAAAATCCATATAATCAAATCGACGCATTGACATGAAGAGGAAGACCAGGCATATCAGGAAATGGTGGGGTGGAAGTAGGAGGTGAAGAGAGACGATGAGGAAGCAACCCAAAGGATGTCGAGGCTGGAAAATATTCAGGGCGAAAGCATGGTATTCACGTGGTGATGATTAAGTCTATATCCACAAAAGAACTATACAGAATGCTTAATTGGCACGTCTCAGAACCAGTCAACTGATTTCCTTTTGGTGCACATTGAAGGAGATATATATTCCGTTTAGTTTTGGGTAGTATTCAGTGTTCATTTCCCTCACTTGAAGACTTCCACATCTCTGCTCATAACTGTTTTTGTTTTCCTAATCTTTGTGACTAGAGAGCATGCATGGCACGGCTGGTGCTGCTGTTGGCTCGCTCACAGCATGATTTTGAGACAACAGCGAGCATGGGTGCGTAACTTGTTGAGTGCGTACGAGAGGGAGAATGCCAGAGCATGCGGAAAGGATTGAGATAGTGTGTGGGTCGTACAAGTATACGAGCTGTGTGAGCTTGGTGAGAGTGCTCGGTATGCTCCCATACAGCTCGTTGAAGGCAAGAGACCTGATGGCCATGGTGGGGAGACCGGAAGATCGTAGAGGAGGGCGACCGGAAAGATAGAAGGGGAGAATGAGGAGGGATGGAGACCAGGTTGGATAGGTGAGTGAGAGGAGATTGAAGGGCTGAGCAGACACGAACCGTGGCTAGAGGCGTGGTGGTGATATTGAAGAATGGTGCAATACTCACATGCTAAATTGACATGTTAGATTCACTTCCTATATTTACTTACTAGATTCACGTGCTTGATTCACTTGCTAAATTCACATACTAGATTCACTTGCTAGGTCCACTCGCTATTTGTACTTCTAACATCACGTGATTGATTCACTTGCCAAATTCCCTCACTAGATTTACTTGAAAGATTCACTCGCTAGATTCAGTTGCTAGATTCACTCGCTAGATTCACTGTCAGAATGTTATAATTGTCTAGCCTGCAGTGGGGTACTTTATAGCGAGTACAACCCGATTAGGGTTTCCTATATCTATGCCAACTGCTGCTAGTGCAACCTCCCTCCATTCTTCATTCCTCATTCTTCACATGCTATCAGAGCATCTACGCTCCTGGCCTGTGGGCCCACCCAACTGCTTCCGCTGCTACTCTCTGTGTTGCACGCCCTGTGGCGTGCGACGGATTTTTTCTTCCCGTCGGCCGCCCTCTTGTTGAGCCCTCCCGGAGGCCCCTCTCACGGCCCCTCGCGCGACCCTTAGCGGCCCCGTCGCCACCCCTAGCAGCTCCGTCGCCGCCCTTCTCGGCCCCTCGAGGCCCCTTCGCGGCCCCGTCGCCGCCCCTAGCGACCCAGTTGCCGCCCTTCCAGGCCCCTCGCGGCCCCTTTGCGGCCCCGTCGCCGACCCTAGCGGCCCGTCTCCGCCCTTCCAGGCCCCTCGCGGCCCCTTCGCGGCCTCGTCGCCGCCCCTATCGGCCACGTCGCCACCTCCAGCGGCCCCGTCCCCGCCCCTAGCGGCCCCGTCGCCGCCCCTAACGGCCCCGTCGCCGACCTTTCAGGCCCCTCGCAGCCCCCCTCGCGGCCCCGTCGCTGCCCCTAGCGGCTCATCGCCGCCCTTCCAGGCCCCTCGCGGCCCCTTTGCGACCCCGTCGCCACCCATTTTGGCCCTGCCTTGACCCTGCCCAGGCCCCGCCCCGGCCATGCTCCGTCGCCTGTCGCAGCGCACAAGGGGCAAGTGCACCGCCCCCCCCTCTTTTCCCGTCGCCAGTCGAGGCGACCTGAGGGGGCCGCGTGCGGGTGGCGGGTGTGTGGTCTCCCCTGCTCCACCTCCTCCTCTATCTCCCACTGCTTCAGCTGTCACATTCATATGACATAGCTGTTGTAGGCTATAGTGGGGTAGCACATATGGGGTACGACTTTCTAGGGTTTGTACGTGTACCCAACTTTCCCTTAGTCAATCCATTCTCGTTCATTTTCTCATGGTATCGAGCAGGTTCCCCTGTGGGAACTGTTTCTAGGGCCCACCACCTTTTTTTTCCTGCCCGGAGCGCGCTCTACTCTGCCCGAGTCGCGCTCCCCTCTTTCGACCCTGTCGCGCCGCCTTAGCAGCCCCGTCGCGTCAAGCTTGCGGCCCCGTCGCGTCGCCCTCGCGGCCCCGTCACGTCGCGCCGCCCTAGCGGCCGCGTCGCGCCGCCCTCGCGGCCCCGATCCGCCGCCCTCGCGGCTCCGTCGCGTCGCGCCGCCCTCGCGGCCCGTTTGCGCCGCCCTCGCGGCCCTTTCGTGCCGCCCTAGCGGCCTCTTCAAGCCGCCCACGCGACCCCCTTCCTAGCCGCCCTAGCGGCCCCGTCTCCTACCCCTGCGGCCCCGGCGCCGCCCTTCCCGGCCCCGACACCGCCCTTCCCGGCCCCGGCGCCGCCTCTACTAGCCCCGTCGCCTACCCTGCTGGCCCCGTCGCCTACCCTGCGGCCCCGGCGCTACCCTTCCCGGCCCCGGCGCCGCCTCTACCCGCCCCGCCGCCGTCTCTACCGGCCCCGGCTCCGCCTCTACCGGCCCCGCCGCCGTCCCCACGCGGCCTCGCCGTCACCACCGAGCCGCCGGCGCCGCCGAGCTACTGCCGAGCCGCCCGAGCCACCTGAGCCGCCCGAGCCGCCGTGCCACCTGAGCCGCCCGAGCTGCCGGGTCGCCGAGCTGCCGAGCCGCCGTACCGCCGAGCCGCCGAGCCGCAGTTACTGCCGACCGCCGTACCGCCGAGTCGCCCGAGCCGCCAGAGCCGCCGAGTCGCCGAGCTGCATTTCCTGCCGAGCCGCCGAGCCGCCCGAGCCGCCCTTTCCGGTAAGAGCAGCGCCTCTATCACTGCACTGCCCTTACCCTACTGTTTGCACTGCTAGTCTACTGCTGTCATGGCTACCCCTAGTGTCCTCGCTTTTGACGCTGAGGGTCGGGCCATTGACTTTGACGTCTGGGTAGATGACCTGCAGTTTTTCCTACAGTGCGATAGGGCAGACGGTCTCTCCCTCTTTGACCTCACTTCTAGTGCCTCTCCTGCCCCTGCTATTGATGCTGACGCCACTGTTCGCTCACAGTGGGCCACACGCAATGCTGCTGCACGTCTTGCTGTGCGTCGCCACCTGCCTACCTCTGAGCGTGCGCACTTTAGCCAGTACAAGAGTGCTCAGACCTTGTACGACGCTGTAGTTGCACACTACTCCTCCCCTGCCACTGCTGCACTGAGCCGCCTCATGCTACCGTACCTCTTCCCTAACCTTGCTGCCTTTCCCACAGTCACAAACCTCATTACGCACCTCCGCACTAGTGACTCTCGCTACCGCGCTGCGCTTCCTGCTGAGTTCTGCGCCAAGAACCCCCTCCCCCTATGTACATCACCCTCTACTACATAGTCACCCGGCTCCTTGACTCCCTTCGCTTAGTCAGGGACAACTTCCTCTCAGTTTGCCCCACCACTCTCACCGTTGACCTCCTCGAGAAGGCCCTCCTAGCGGCAGAGAAGAGCATAGTCGCTGTAGGAGCCTCTTGTGGTGACCCTCGCACCCCCGTCTTTGAGGGGTGTTCCCCCTCCCCCCTTTTGCCCTCTATTGCCTTTGTTGCTGCGGCCGACCTCGTTGGTCTCGAGTCGGTCGGCGCTGCGTCTGCCCCGAGCGGGAGACGACGCACCGGCAAAGGCAAGGGGGGCAAGGGCGCTGGAGGGGCTGGCGGGGGTGGCGGAGGTGGCGGTGGCGGCTGTGGAGGGGGTGGGGGTGGTGGTGGGAGTGGTGGCGGGGGTGGAGGTGTCGGTGGCGGTAGTGGAGGCGGAGGCGGAGGCGGCGGTGGCGGTGGGGGCGGAGGTGGCGGAGGTGGCGGCGGAGGAGGAGGCGGCGGCGGAGGAGGCGGAGCTGGTCGGGGTGGCGCTGCGCAGAGGGTCGGCTCCGGTGGTGGTCAGCGCCAGCAGCAGCAGCGCACTCGTAACATCCCCCCCCCTCAGTAGCTCCGTGAGTGGTACGCTGCACGCCAGCGGGGTGGGGGTACTGGTCCGTGCACCTACGTCCTACGCACTGGCGACCGCGCGGGTGAGCAGTGCGGGGGTGCGCACTCCACCCAGCGCTGCTTTGGCCGCCTGACGGACGCTTGGCATCACCAGTTCCCTGAGGCCACTGAGATCCCTCGCTGGGGCGAGCTGTCTAGGGCGGGAGTAGCTATCTTTGACCTTGACTTTGATGCTATTCTTGCTGCCATGTATATTGTGACTATTAGTGATGAGGGTGACTGTTACCGGTGTTTTCCGCCTGACCCGGGCATTGAGACTGCTGCTCTAGGTACTGGTGAGGCTGCTGCTCTAGGTGCTAGCGAGGCTGTTGCTCTAGGTGCCAGTGCGTCTGCTTCCTCAGGTGCTGGTGAGTCTGCTCTCTCAGGTACCGCGTCAGCTTCGGCCTCCCACACCTTCACCCTTGACTCGGAGGCTTCTTGCTCCTTCTTTCGAGACGGCACCACACTCACGCCGCTTGGTCGGCCAGTTGCAGTCTCTCTGGCAGACCCCTCTGGGGGTCCTGTCCTTGCTCACTTCTCCACTGTCCTCCCGTGTCTGGCGGCCCCCTCTGGCACCCTGTCTAGTATTTCCCTCCCCTCGTTCTCTACGAACTTGGTGAGTGGTGCTGACCTACAGGATGCGGGGGTTCACCAGTTCACTCCTGCGAGTCAGCGGGTGACCCACTGCACGGACGCTCAGACAGGCCGACACCTGGCCAGGTTTACACGTAGGCCGGGGTCGAGCCTGTACACACTGACCCCTGAGTCTCCTCCTGTCCCTGCGTCTGGTCAGGTAGCTGCGTCGGGTCAGGTGTTTGCTGCAGCGTCCAGGTCTGGTCCTGAGTATGCCCCCTGCTCGTGTCGCCTCCTGTCCCACGAGACTCTCCTCTGGCACCACCGCCTTGGTCACCCCTCCCTGCTTCGTCTCCGAGGCATGGCCTCCCGTGTCCTTGTCTCTGGTCTTCCCCGGTCCCTCCCTCCCCTTCCCCCGGGGCCTGCCCCTGCCTGCGTCCCCTGCGTTGAGGGGCGGCAGCGTGCTGCCCCTCACTCCTCCCAGTTTCCTCCGATAGAGGCCCCGCTGCAGACGCTTCACATGGACGTGAGGGGCCCCGCCCGCGTCCGTGGACAGGGTCACGAGCGCTACTTCCTGCTGGTGGTTGACGACTACTCGCGTTACACCACAGTCTTCCCCTTGCGCAGCAAGGGTGATGTCACTGAGGTGCTGATCGACTGGATCCGCGCGGCTCGTCTCCAGCTCAGGCGGAGCTTTGGCTCGGACTTCCCTGTCCTGCGTCTGCACTCGGACAGAGGCGGAGAGTTTTCCTCTGGCCTACTGCGAGCCTACTGACGCGCACGAGGCATCCGTCAGACCTTCACGCTTCCGGACCCACCGCAGAAAAATGGGATTGCTGAGCACCGCATTGGCATGGTCATGGACGTGAGGGGCCCCGCCCGCGTCCGTGGACAGGGTCACGAGCGCTACTTCCTGCTGGTGGTTGACGACTACTCGCGTTACACCACAGTCTTCCCCTTGCGCAGCAAGGGTGATGTCACTGAGGTGTTGATCAACTGGATTTGCGCAGCTCGTCTCCACCTCAGGCAGAGCTTCGGCTCGGACTTTCCTGTTCTTCGTCTGCACTCTGACAGAGGCGGAGAGTTTTCCTCTGGCCTTCTGCAAGCCTACTGTCGTGCACAAGGCATCCGCCAGACCTTTACGCTTCCGGACTCTCCACAGCAAAATGGAATTGCTGAGCGCCGCATTGGCATGGTCATGGACGTCGCCCGTACGTCCATGATGCATGCGGCTGCCCCCCATTTTCTGTGGCCGTTTGCGGTTCCGTACGCGGCGCATCAGATCAACCTTCAGCCCAGGGTCTCCATGCCGGAGACCTCCCCAGCTTTGCTGTGGACCGGGAAGGTTGGCGATGCGTCTGCGTTCCGTGTCTGGGGATCTCGGGCGTTTGTCCGCGACTTGTCTGCAGACAAGCTGTCCCCTCGTGCTACTCCTTGCGGCTTCCTTGGCTTCCCCCCTGACGCGCCTGGGTGGCAGTTCTACCACCCCACCTCTCTCCGTGTTCTGTCCTCCCAGGACGTCACGTTTGACTAGTCGGTCCCCTACTACCGCCTCTTCCCCTACCGCACTCCGTCCCTCCCCTTGCCACCGCTCTTCCTTGTGCCAGGTCCCCCCCGGTAGACCCCCTCCCCCCTCAGGGTCCTGCCCCTTCAGGTGTGTCCCAGGTAGACGCAGTCAAGCCTGTCAAGGTTGCTGGTGACTCTCGTGCTGCTGAGGGTGCTGAGCGTGGGGGTGCTGACTCTGGGGGTGCTGAGCGTGTGGGTGCTACGCCTGGGGGTGCTGAGCCTAAGGGTGCTACTAGTGGGGGTTCTGAGCTTGGGGGTGCTGAGCCTGGGGGTGCTATGCCTGCGGGTGCTGAGCCCGAGGGTGCTACTACTGGGGGTTATGAGCTTGGAGGTGCTGAGCCTGGGGGTGCTACGCCTGGGGGTGCTGAGCCTGGGGGTGCTACGACTGGGGGTGCTGAGCCTGGGGGTGCTACGCCTGGAGGTGCTGAGCCTTGGGGTGCGGAGCCTGAGGGAGCTGGGCCTGCTCGTGTCGCGTCTGGCGGTACTGTGCCTGGAGGTTCTCTAAGTGCTTCGTCTCGGCGGGAGCCACTCTCTCCACACGAGCTGCACGAGTGGTTTGCGCGGCGCTGGAGGCGTGCTGCTGGAGCTGGAGGTTCTTCGGCTACTGAGGGTGCTGGTGTCGCGGGTCTCGGAGGTGCTCGTACTGGGAGTACAGGAGCTGCTGGGCCTGCGGGTACGACTTGAGTTGGAGCTGCTGAGGGTGTTGGCGCTGAGGCTACTGCTGTCGGTCCTGGAGGCGGTCCTGCTGGGGGTGCTACTGGTGGTGCAGGAAGTCCTGGAGCTACTGGAGCTGCTAGGGGTGCTGGAGCTGGAGGTGCTGCTGGCACTGGTGCTACCACTGGGGGTACTGGTGCTGTCCCTGCTGTGTCTGGAGTCGCCGCGCGGCTTCGTCTGTACTTCGTTCCGCTCCTTCAGAAGGTTCTTGGTCTTCCGCCTTCTACTGGTCCTCCTCCTCCCTTAGAGTGTCCACAGCCTGTCCCGTCACAGTTACAGTTACAGCCGGCCTCCCCACTGCCTGCTCCTTCTCCCTACACTGGTCCTACTGGAGGTCTTGCTGAGCGTCGTGAGCCTGCCTCTCGCCCTGCGTCGCCTGTCCGTCTTGCTGGCACTAGTGGTCGTGGTTCGCGTCAACGTCCTCCTGTTGTCCCTGGCACGCACCGGATGTCTCTGCGTCCGTCCACTGCTCCTCTGCGTGCCCCTTTGCCTTCTCCTCCTGAGTCCTCTCTTCCTGCTCTTGCCGACCCGGAGTCGGACTCTCTTCGTGCTGCAAGTCCTACTGTCATGCGTCTCCTTGGTACTATCGTCACTGACCCTTCCTTTGACTCCACTACTGCGTCTGCCCTAGCTGCTGAGCTCGTCGACTTTGCTGCTCGCTGTCGTCTAGACTACGCTGCTAGTCTTGTCACTGAGTCTGAGTCTGTCTGTCCTCCGTCCGTCGGGGGTGAGTGTGCCCTTGGCACGGACGTCCTTGAGGACAGGTAGGAGGAGTTCCATTGCTTGGCCGCTGCTTCACCTCATCTCGTGTCCGTACTGCTTACCCTTGAGGGAGACCCGGATGCACTTGACATCCCGACTCCGCGCTCTTACGCGGAGGCGATAGAGGGTCCCTACTCCTCTCAGTGGCAGGCAGCTATGGACACAAAGATGGCTTCCTGGAAGTCCACATGCACCTACGTCGACGAGGTTCCCCCGCCTGGGGCGAACATCGTCAGTGGCATGTGGATTTTCAGGGTGAAGCGACCACCGGGTTATCCGATTGTCTTCAAGGCGCGTTACGTGGCTCGTGGCTTCAGTCAGCGGCAGGGAGTCGAAGATGACCTTCTCTCCCACCCTTTCAGACCTTCTCTCCCACCCCGAAGATGACCACTCTTCGGGTGCTGCTGCACATAGCTGCTCACCGTGACTAAGAGCTGCACTCTCTTGACTTCAGCACTGCTTTCTTGCAGGGCAGCCTGCACGAGGAGATCTAGCTGCGCCGCCCACCTGGCTTCACTGGGTCTTTTCCTCCTGGCACCCAGTGGAGCCTCCGGCGGCCAGTCTACGGTCTCCGCCAGGCACCGCGTGAGTGGCACAACACATTGAGGACTACACTTGCGACTCTTGGGTTTGCTCCCTCTACCGCCGACCCGTCGCTGTTTCTGCGCACCGACACCTCTTTGCCGCCGTTCTACATCCTCGTGTACGTCGACGACTTGGTCTTTGCCACTGCTGACACTGCTGGACCAGCCCACGTGAAGTCCGAGCTGCAGAAGAGACACACGTGCACAGACCTGGGTGAACTGCGCAGCTACCTTGGCTTGCAGATCACCCGGGACAGAGCACAGCGCACCATTACCCTGACTCAGTCACACATGGTGCAACTGATCCTTCAGCGCTTCGACTTCACGTACTCCTCGCCTCAGGCCACTCCTCTGTCCACTCGCCACTCGCTCTCAGCTCTGCCTTCGGATGAGTCCGTAGAGCCGAGTGGCCCGTACCCAGAGCTTGTTGGCTGCCTCATGTACCTGATGACCTGCACACAACCTGACCTTGCATACCCTCTTAGCATCTTGGCACGCTATGTTGCTCCTGGGAGACACCGACCAGAGCACATGGCTGCAGCGAAGAGGGTGTTGCGCTACTTGTGCAGTACGTCGGGCATGGGGCTTGTGCTTGGAGGGCAGAGTCCAGTGGTCCTCACTAGGCACGCAGACGCTTCTTGGGCTGACGACCAGGCTACGCAGCGGTCGTCACAGGGTTACACCTTCAGCCTTGGTTTCGGCTCTGTTTTGTGGCGGGCTACCCGCTCGTCTTCTGTTCTCGGCTCCAGTTGTGAGGCTGAGATCTACGCAGGAGCCATGGCTGCACAGGAGCTACGCTGGCTCACCTACCTGCTGACTGACCTCGGAGAGCCGCCTCGTTCTCCTCCTGTGCTGTACGTAGACAACAAGGCCATGCTGGCCTTGTGTCGGGAGCACAGACTGGAGCACAGAACGAAGCACATTGCTCTTCGCTACTTCCTTGCTCGTGAGCTACAGCAGCATGGTCAGCTGCGCCTTGCGTACGTGGCCTCTGAGGCCAACACTGCTGATATCTTCACCAAGGCGCTTGCGCCTTGTGATCATCAGCGCTTCTGTACTCAGCTGGGTCTTGTGCCTGCCTTGCCTCACTTGCTCACCACTTGACCTTGTTTGTACTGTTACATATATATATACACCTGCTCTTGCTTGTCTAGCCTTATATATATATGTAATCTTGCATGTGAACTGGCCTTGTGGTGACTTTGTGATCCACCCTGAGCTTGCTTTGCTTTGCTTGACTGGTCTTGTGACCCCTTCTTCTCCCCCACTTTGCCTATGGGGGTGTGTCAGATTCATATGACAAAGCTGTTGTAGGCTATAGTGGGGTAGCACATATGGGGTACGACTTTCTAGGGTTTGTACTTGTACCCAAATTTCCCTTAGTCAATCCATTCTCGTTCATTTTTTCAGCAGTTGCTGCTGAGGGGGGTGGGTGTGTGGGAGTCGACGGAGTGGTGCTAGGGGGTGGGGTGTGAGTGAACCTAGGGTGCAGCTGGGGGTGTGTGAAAGGGGGGTGCTGTGGGAGTGGAACTAGGGTTTGAGCAGGGGGTGTGTGTCGAGGGTGTGAGGCAGCTGGAGGAGGTTGTGTGAAGGTAGCTGTCGTGTTGCCTGCAGTGCCTGTAGTCTGTCGCCTTTGTTTCGGTAGCCAGTGAGCTTGTTGCATCAGTCACCAATGGGTCCGTTGCTCTTGCCGCTCGTCTATAGGCGCGGAGCCAGTTACTCCAGTAGTCCGTCGCCCTTGCTTCGGTAGTGTGAGAGGACGTCCCCGTTATAATATTTTCTCACTATTCTATTCTTCCGTTATCCTATTCTCCCTTTTCTCCTCTTTATTTTGGTCTTTATCTCATCTCAATCGGCCTACTATTCTATTTTCTAGAGCCTTCTATTTATTTCTCTTATTTCCTACTTTTCCCACCGACATACCTATTATACGGCACCGACAGCGCCGACAGTGGTGTATACGGTGTAATCTGGGCGTAATCCCAAGTGCCAATAGACTTGCGTGCTTATGCGCACTTGTGATTGTAGTATCGGGAAGGGTGTGTTCCCGAAGGTTCGTTTTATCTCGTTTATCCTTGTACTTTCCGAGTATAAATAGGACTTGTATTCAGTTTTAGTGACAAGTTTCGATTGAGAATTCGATCCTGTG